ATTTCGGTAAAACTAGGTACGCTAAACATAATAAATTATCGATATAAAATAGTAGTGTCAAGTCACTGACTCGCGCTCGTCTCCTGCGGCCATGTTCTTGGAAATTTACCTACGCGACAATATTGGTTTTTGCCCATACTATAAATCCATCGCTGCTTTTAACTCTTGTACTCGTAGACATGAACTAGCTTAAGAATCAATGCATATTGAAATGTGAAATCAGTTACATTTTCGGAGACAATCGTAGTACTGGAGGTGAATAATTTCATTTAGGGATGTGCTTCAAAACACCATTTTTACGTCTCTGCGTCCGAAACAACACTGGTGACCGAAACAAACTCTCCTCGCGCGCTTGTGGCCTACGAATCACATGTGCGGCGACAAGGTCACGCGCTTTTACGACTTCTATTCTCTTATTAACTTATTATTTAGATTTCTGTGTTTGTGATCGACGAATAACCTACCGTGTAATGCAGTGATTGACGCCTGCATGAGCGTACATTACACGCTCATGCAGGTGTCAATCAATTTCGTCAATCATGATTGATAAAAAACTGATGGTGACTGATGAGCGTACATTACACGCGCCCGCGTAATGTACGCCTTAGACATTCCTCACCGCCGCGATGCATCACTAATGAAGCTCGTAAGCGATTCTGGATGTACCTAGCCCAGGTCGTTTCAACTGATATTATGTAATTTTTTTTTATTTAACCCTTAATCGGGCAGTATAAAAAATCAGCTTTTCACGGCTTAAGGGTAAGTCCTTGTGTTATATAAGTTAAGCAGTGTGCACAAAATAGAATACGAACAACTATAACTGAAAAAAAGGTTTTTTTCGGGTGAGAAATAATCGTCAAGTCGAGCAAAAATGCGGCACGGCCGTACCATACTCGTACTTTTCTCGAAGCAATTCAGGTTCAATTCCATTCATTTTCGACCCCCTATAACTTCGTAGTGAATAAAACTAGAATCCTGAATTTTCAGTATCCTAGTAGGAATTGTATAAACATGGTATATTTCAAATTTCATTTAATTTGAACCAGTAGTTTAAGAATTATAACTAGTCAAAGTTTCTTAATTTTGTCACTCATTGACTGACCGATCATCAAAACTCTAAGACACTTTTAGCAGAGATAGAAGCTTTAAATTTAGAATACAGTTAGGGTTTAGTATATAAACCTAGGAAAAACTAAAATATTCTTTAATTTCGGTCCAGTTTTCTAGATACACCAACTGCATAAATAACTTTGTAATATCATATAAATATATATTACAAAGTTACATTTGCAGTGAATGAATCAGTGTACCTGTATACTTTTATGCCATCAAAAATATAACTTGTAAAAAAAACCAAGTCTCACAACTCAGTTCTTCTACCGTAAAAAGTTGCGAGATCCATATAATATCAAGTCGGTTAATTTATTCAGTCCCTACTTAAGGGTCCTTCTGTTTTAAGTTATTACGTAATTAGCTAACCTAACAACATGGTGACCATATCAATGTTAAAAATCTTTTATGTTTTAAATATATAGATCGACTTGGCCATCGCATGAAAACACAATGTATCTCACAAGTGTAATACATATTATATTAAATTATATTGCTTTAACTTTGTAATTCTATATACATATGATATTACAAAGTTATTTATGCACTTGGTGTATCTAGAAAACTGGACCGAAATTAAAGAATATTTTAGTTTTTCCTAGGTTTATATACTAAACCCTAACTGTATTCTAAATTTAAAGCTTCTATCTCTGCTAAAAGTGTCTTAGAGTTTTGATGATCGGTCAGTCAATGAGTGACAAAATTAAGAAACTTTGACTAGTTAATCTTAAACTACTGGTTCAAATTAAATGAAATTTAAAATATACCTTGTTTATACAATTACTACTAGGTTACTTAATATTCAGGATTCTAGTTTTATCCACTACCAAGTTATAGTGGATCAAAAATGGCCCGAATTGCTTCGAGAAAAGTATAGTACGGCCGTGCCGCTTTTTTGCTCGACTTGGCGGGGGCACTGCCGTGCCCCCAGATGTTTTAAATAAATGGATTGACTTGGCAATCGCAATAAGCAATGGAATTTAATAAAATATGTACTACTTGTGCGATACATTGTGTTTACATGCGATGGCCCAAGTCAATCTATTTATTTAAAACAAAAGATTTTTAATATTGATATGGTCACAATAAGATGTTATATAGCTAATTACGTAATAACTTAAGACAGAAGGACCCTTAAGTAGGGACTGAATAAATTAACCGACTTGGTATTACATGGATCTCACAACTTTTTACGATGGAAGAACTCAGTTGCGAGACTTGGATTTTTTACAAGTTATGTTTTTGATGGCTTATTCCTTTGACCGTTTAGTGACAACCTAAGTGGGAAATAATTTCCCTTTGCCCAATTACGTCTACAAAATTTAATAGACTAGTAACTTACCCTGACTTTACTTTTGAATTTATGGTCCTCAATCCTCAAATACATGTGCACCTTTTGTAGGTAGTCCCTTTTTTGGGAAGATGCACACCGAAATTTTAGAGCCGAATTTCATTCGGAACTCCAAAATTCTCCTCTTTCTTATTTGTATATATTATTGTATCCCTTTTCGTGTCATTGTAATAATTAATAACACTCGCGCCAATCGTAGCCTAAAACCCTTATGTGAGTCATGTATTGAACTGAAAAAATGAAAGTATTTTATAATAGATATAGTCTTTGTTCATTCCTTAGAGAGCCTTCACTACTTGACACCAGCTCTGCTAAGGAATTAACATTGTAACTTGTTTCCTTCAGGTAGTCCCGGTTGTTGTGTAAGCCTTCGGACCTTTGAGGCTGAGGCAACCAGCACTGCTGTAGGCTTAGTCCGCCTAATCCTAATACAGCTTCTTCTATTGTGACCAGACATTTATTGTAGATTTTATCTGCTAGATGTTCATCTGTAATGCCAGAAAGTCTTTCCACTTGTCGTTTGTGGTCTTCTGATAGGCTATCCCCCGTATTTCCGTATTTTACCCAAAGACTTAGTACATCTGTAATCCGACAGAATGCCAGCATTATAGAAAAAAGTTCACGCATTTTAAATGGCGACTCGCATAATGCTGCTTCCTCTAGGGACGAATCCCAATGTTTGTCGTTTTCTAGCAAGTCAAGTTTCATGCAAGCAACTTGAAAATTTAGTTGGAGGATACCGTTGATAGTATTCAAGTCATCAAAGGATGATGGACCCCTAACCTCGTGAAGAAGTAAACGAAGATGTAACACTCTGTGTTGTTCGGGTAAACCGTGTACATTCTACCTAGAGCGTGTTCTTTCATTATTCCTGGTCAGCTTTTCTACGGGTTTTCCTCTTTTCCTTCTCACAATTTTTTTTTGCCATACAAAATATGAAGACACTTCTGCATATAGAAGGGTTTTAGCAAAATCATCTGTTTGGCATAAATAAAAAAGGCGGTCTGTACGGTACTGGTACTGTCCAGTCTGCCGATACCTCTTGACAATTCAGTGTACCACAGATTTTAATACTCGTAATGTTTGGGCCACATGTTTTCAAGTGTTAAGTTGAAAGTTACAGCCTATAGACGTCCCACTACTGGGCACATGCTTCCTCTTATTTCTCAGAGGGTATTAGAATAAGGAAGCCTCCGCCGCGCTGCTCCAATGCGTGTTGACAAATCACGAAATATTATTTCTTTTTTTTTTTAGACATGCAGGTTTCCTCACGATGTTTTTCCTTCACCTCCGAGCACGTGGTAAATCAGCACTTAAAATTGCAATTAACAATTTCATTGGTGCCGGCGGGAATCGAATCCAGGGTGCTCACGTACTGTGAAATTTACAGCGAACGATAACTATCTGAACTACCACGGCTTGTTTTTAAGTTTGCCCAGTTTTAATTAAAATAACAGGCCTAGCAACTTGAGTGACGTTTAGATCTGGCAATTTCATTTTATTTTCAGTAACAATTCACACTTAACACGATAAACAAGACAGTCAAAGAAAAAATTTTAACTCAAATGTGTTAGATTTTTTGCAATAACAAAAAGACTCAGTAATTACATAAAACAAATGTATATTCCAAAAAAAAAACACTTCAATAGCATTTACTAATGTTTGTGGTCAGTATGCTTGATAATTACAACAGAAGAAATTAAACTTTTTTTTCCTCTTAATTTGTCCATGAGTGTCATCATCATCATCACCATCATAATTACAGCCCTTCATAAGTTCACTGCTGAACATAGGGTTCTCTCAAAAATTGGCATAGTGCGGTCTTTAGCCACCTGCATCCATCGACTTCCTGCATGTTTTGCTAGGTCGTCACTCCATTTAGTGGGGGTCGCCGTACACTTCGCCAACCGTTACGAGGCTGCCACTCGAGAACCTTTTTCCCCATTGGTTGTCGGTTCTTCGTGCCATATGCCCGGCCCATTGCCACTTCAGCTTACTAATCCGTTGGGCTATGTGGGGCACTCTGGTTCTACTGCGGATATTCTAAGTTTATCACGCAGAAAAACCCCGAGAATAGCCCTTTCCATAACTCGCTGAACGACCTTGAGAATCCTCATACGACCAGCAGTAAAGGACCACGTCTCAGATCCATAAATTAACACTGGCAGAGAAGATGTGTCGTAATTTCCCGAACGCTGCCCAGCCGAGTTGAATACGTCGATTGACCTCTCGGTCGAAGTTGGAGTTACTTAGTCGGACTATTTGCCCCAAGTAAATATACTCTTCAACAACTTTCAACTTAGTGCGTCCAATAACTACTGGCATAGGTGTGTCATGTTCATGTACGTTACACATGATCTTTGTTTTGTCCCACATATTCGTTGAGAGGCACTATTGTGGTCATTGAGCATAGTGCTTAGGTCCTCCAGCGATTCTGCCATAAGGACTATATCCATAAGTCTACATATAGATAAATATAAGATCATGTGCATCGTTATGTTTGTCGATAGTTAAAGTTATGTTTATTTACAGTCTCACAATGGCACCATTACAACTTAAGGGCATCACTCTCGGAGAGAAACATAGATATTACAATGAACTTGTGAAAGAAGTTATTGACAAACAACGGCCTGAACATCTAGCAAAGATCAACTACGATGATCCTGACTTAGACAATATTTTGAAAATCGATATAGCGAGCAGCAACAAAAATGTTGAATATATTCTTGACGTATTCAAGTGTGAAGACATGTTATATGTGTCCAGAGCTATAAAGCAATCTAATTGGTTAGTAACAGATGAACAATATGCATACATTATTAATCCTAAATATTTACATTCTCAACTTTTTCCCTATATGACTTCTAAAGCCATAAACAAATTAATACTTTATATAAGATTGAACCTAAAAGAAGAAAAACGTGTCGAGGAATTCTTTAATTTTTATAAAGAAATAGACGCTACAGTTGCACTTAAATGGCTTCCAAACTGTTCTTTAGAATTTACACTAAATGCCATTAAAACTTACGCTGATATATTTAAAGTTCAGCTCCTGAAACGCCTCTGCGAAAAATCAATAACAGTGCTTGAAACGTACGTTAAACAGCCATATCAACATAGTATTTGCGCTGTGATGAATGCAACAACTTTTCTTATAAATGATCATTTTGAAAAGTACTTAGAAATAATGGAATCCGTTAAAAGGTATGAGACTCCGAAGCTTAAAGCGAAATACACAAAATTAATCATGGAAAGAAAACCGCAGATGATTTTTGACAGTTTTGAAAAATACGCTGATGATATACATCTGCCAACTTTTGTTAAATATTTAAGAGCAGAAAATATAAATCAGTTCTTGTTAGAACATCACAAAAACAAGAAATTGCGGTATTGGTTTTGCCATGACAACCTTAAGCCATTTATTCTGATGACACCGCCAGAAAACAGATTAAAATTGGTACAAAAATTTTTAAATGACCAAGATAAAGATGTTTTTGATCAGGAATGCGAAGATGACTATGATAAGGCTTCACACAATTCTGTTTCTAGTTACCATTTATATAAGTATGCACCATTTAAAACTGCTTTCGTAGAATTGAAGAAATTAATCCGAGCGGAAACATCCCCAAATGAGCGTGTTTCATTGCTAGAAGTGTTGTTATATTCTGCTGGACGTAATATGCTACATATTCAGACTATACTACAATATTTTAGAGAAAAACACATCAATGAACCATTCAAATTTAAAATAAAGTTTATAAATAGCGTGCTTGAAAAAATCCAGACTTTCAAATTAAGTGAGCCAATGTGGAAAATATTGAATGAACTATTCAGTAGCATGGAAGTTTATAGCGAATCACAAAATAATGTACAACTTTGTGTTAAAGTAGCTATTGTTCAAAAAATTCTTCACAATGAGGATCTACCAGAGATCTTAGGAATTAAGTTTTGTTTCGAAACATTAAAACCATATAAAAAAACTTTAAACGAAATAGACAGTGATAAAATTTTTACTTATTTATATAACTCCCAAGTCGTAAAAATTGATGCATTAAATGTAATCAGTGAATCAGAATTAAGTATAAAAATTCACTTAGTTGAAAATGTTTTAAAATTATTAAAGGACTGGGATAAAGACCTGCTCGATTTTCCTTTTGTCCTAACTAAAATCAAAGAACTCGTAACTATAAAGAAAACCAATTCCTGGAATGCAAATTTTTCTTGTTTATATAATATAAAAAAATCTTGGAGAAAACATTTGTTTGTCATATCTCTTGATTTATGGCCTACTCAAGATACTTGCGTGAATGCTTTGAAACACGATCCACAATTGTTATCGACTTCAAAACACGTATTGGAGTCAGTTTACTGTAACGATAGCTTAATATTAAATCAATTTCTCAATAAACTACGCATGTACTGGTCTTCCTGTTTAGGCAGAGAATGTGTTACGTTTTTTCTTGATCAGCTAAATCGTAAAAATGATAGAAAAGGTCTCATTCGACATCTTTTTGTTATTTTGCCACAAAAAGACTATTTTCATATTATAAAGAATTACGTACCGAAGAACGAGACCATTGATTGGAATAAAGACGATAAAATGTTATTGGATATTCGTAAGAATATTGCAAAACGTATTCACATCACTAGACCGCAAGCTTCACTTGAAGTCGTATTATGGTATGCTAAAGGCGATTATTTACAGTTTGCTATTCCTTCAGTATTAGCAGTACTTTCAAATATGAGTTCTATAAACATTCAAAAATATATTAAATCTTTGATAGAAGCTCCAGTTTCTTTACAAAAATACGGTATTCGTGCAGCGATTGATAATCTTAAAAGTGAAGAAATTATTAATATATTTTCTAATACCTGGAAAAATACCAAAAATAGCTCTATTCGTGCAGACCTATTTAAATGTACTTTTAAACTTTTGTGTAAAGAGAAAAATGTGAACACAATTGAAACAATATGGATGTTATTAAATAGTTTTATCGATACATTAACAGATGAAGAGAATAAAGTAATTTATGATACATTAGCTGCAGTGGATCGAGTACCGCTTTGCGTAAGAGTGGCTTTTTGGAAAAAAAGTTATAATTTTCTAAAAACTTTGCCACCAAAATGTAATTGTGATGCACGTGTTAAAAGAGTTATTTTTAGTGCATCTGAATTTATGGAGATTGTAGACGTAGATTTCATTTCAGAAATATTTTTAGAAAGGAACGGCCTGAAACTGACGACAAATACAATTGATCTTGAAGTTTTGATGTCTCGTTGTTTATTGTCAGTGAAAGATGTTGATTCACAATATGAAAGATATAAAAAAATTATTTATCCAAGTATGGAATTATATGTTGCATCTTGGAATATACAACATAAAAATGAATATCTAGTTCGACTTAAATTTTGCAAATTGCTTAAGTATATGTGTCAACACTTCAAAGATATTGTTGTAGAAAATGAAATGGTTATTCCTGTGATTGTATTTGATCAAATTCAAAAATATTTAGAATTAAATCTACCGACGGAAGAAAATTATACGTTACTGAGGGCTTGGAAATTAGTTTCTAATTTAATAAAAACCATATCTCATAATATGTCTGTTAAATTAAACGATAAAATAAGTGAATGTAAACTTTCTGAAACACGCAGCGAAATTTCTGACTATTTTAATGTCTTAATGTTACAAGCAATTCCTAAATTTGGGAAACAATTGCAGCAATATTTAAGAGAAGATATAAAATTGTATTATCCATCAATTTATATAAGTTTTGGTAAAGCTTTAAATTTAATGTGTAATTTCTTTTGTTTAGATTACTCATTGAAGTTACAAATATTAAAAACTATTTTAAATATTGATATTATAGAAAGTTATTTGTTAGTTATAATGTTAATTCCTAAATATATACCAGAAATACATGTGGCAGAGAAAACTGAAATAATGGATATTATACATTCGCATCCATCACCTGAAGTTAAAATACATTACTATCACTACCAATCAGATTATTATTTAGATAATTTTTGATGATATATTATAACGATGTAATATACAACATGTAACATAATTAACGCACTTTGAGAAAGTAGTTTGTTCAGAATCGTTTACTGAATCGATTCCTATCATTTTTAATATAGGTAATTTTTTATCCCAAAAATAATTAATACTACGTAAATTACAGTCACACTAAATCTATACAGTCAAAACAAACTCAAATGGACCGTAACTTAAGGCAATAAGACTTAAGAGTGCAGTTTTATTTGTGTTATTACTAATTCTGTCATTCAATAAAAATGAACTTTATTTCAAGCACGTTAAAGTCTTTGCGTTCGTGGATTTGTACTGTGACCACAACATTCTTCCGGAATTAGTATAACTAATTTGATAAATAATCAGTGCATAAAAATGTTTAACTAAAAATTCAGTGTATGTATTATGATTATCACGTAATATACTAATTGGGGTGTCTGAGGGTATGCGTTAATTACGTTACATATTGTATACAAAGAGCGTGGCAATGTCTAATGTCTAGAAGTAAAAGTTTAAGTGTAGATTATGAATGTTTACCTACTTTTTCATTATTTAATAACAAATGTCGGGTTTATTCATTTCACGTAACTTAGGCAGCGTTAATTATGTATTAATGTCGTGTAACATATTTTTGATAACCGTGTAATTAAAGCTTTATACGCTTCTATTACTCATCAAATGAAATGTTACCTTTGTTTTTATATTTTTATATGTTTATCATGAAACTAATGACCCGCGCCGGTCTCCTATGGGTAAGATCTAATAATGTGGCGTTGTTTAAATTTAAGATAAATAAAGATCATTTATTTTATCAACTTACGTTTTTTAAATGTCCAATATTTTCGGACCAAATATATCCTAGATTATTTCTCTGTTCGTAAAATTTTATTTCCAGTCTACTACATAAGTTTTGTAAATCTAAAGATTAGCCCGAACACACAAAATTTTTAAAATTGTTTATATTTTATTGGCGTATCAATAACACTCCTTAGCTCAATATAAAGCAGTTATTTCAATATTACAGTCAGAAACTTCAATTTTACTTATATGTATATGTAGTTATATTCGATTCCCGCCCAGATCGTAATCTCGTTTCATCTTCGGCCATTCTTTAGTTTGATTCCTCTTTTCTTTGATTTGATCTTCGGGGACGCTCACAATGTATCCGCTCCAATGACACTGTAGTCTTATTGCGAGTGTACCCCAGGGTGGCGTCTTGTCTCCTTTACTCTTCACCGTTTTTGATATATTATAACGCAAATAATAAGCACCAACTTCCATCTTTATGCAGACGGTTTGCGCTTTACCGTCACTTTGCGGCATCTGAGGCTAAATTGGCGATAGATGTACTGAATGCCGACTTGGATAAAATTAGTCGTTGGATCCCATGATTTAACTTTAACCTTTTGAGCGCCAACGTCGCCTATACTTGTCCAGTACCTGCGGGCCCTGAGCGCCAACGACGTCTATAGTTGACAAAAAACCCGTCCCGCAAAAATATAAAATATAGATATTGGAAAAATTACTGTTATTTTAATTCTACACTCCTCAAAAAATAATAACCCAGCTACATGTAAGTATAAAAAGCAAGTCTCCTAGAGCCACAAGTACTAAGAAACAATGAACTAAAAGAAAATGGATTATTATCTAAGCTAATACCATGTCCAGCACGCCAAAGTCGTCTATGATTGACCGCTAGTGTTGAACGCGGGAGGCATAGATTTCTTAAAAATTATCCAAAATTCAGCTCAAACGTGTTATTTTTTTTTCTATTATTATTGATATTTGAATAAAACAAGAGGTTAGAAACGTAAAACTATAATTAGCTACATGAATAAAAAATGTTATCGAATCCATCTTCGCATAATAAATCTAGTATCTTAACTCTGGCGCATCCTTAGCGCGTCATTGAAAATCTGTTCACTGGGCGCCGTGGTCAAGGATAGACGACACCCATATGACTTCATAAGTGATTAGCGGGAAAAGAAGTGCAGTGCAACATGAACGATTCCTCAGAACTCATTCGCATTTTGGAAAGCGTCGATGATGATGAATTTTTTATTTTTAATAATATAAAATTACAAACAATAAATGCTTTTTTTTACTTAAGGTATGAAGAGCAATTTTTCATTTTGTATTGTGCTATTTTCTTTCTCAATCTCAAAATTATCTGGTAGCATCAGCATCATATCAAACCCCCATTTTCATAAGAGCGTAAGACTTTTCTTCTGTGCTTCACTTGGCCTACGCCTCTCCCGACACTTAAAATATTTTGAGTCGATCTCTGTATATGTTGGTTAGATCGATTTCGAAATCGATACACAACGTGCGACACGGCTACTACATCTCTAAGAAAGTTTCAAAAAGGAAGGTCAGCTACGCCGTTGTCCAGTCGTGCCAGTGAAGTCATCACGATGGAAAGTAGTGCTGTGGTTTACTACCATTTTATTGTTATTGTTTGTTTTTTATTTATGTACAAAGTACATATATAAAAAGAGTGGAAGACAGCACAAGATTAAATAAAACATACCAGATTATAGTCGTTTATTGCAAAAAAAACCAACAAAATCAAGTTATTTTGTGTTATCGATATATCAACTCTTGGCAACATTATTTTTAGGGTTCCTTAGTCAACTAGGAACCCTTATAGTTTCGCCATGTCTGTCTGTCCGTCCTCGCTTAATCTCTGTGACCGTTAGCACTAGAAAACTGAAATTTGGTATCAATATGTGTATCAATCACGCCGACAAAGTGGTAAAATAAAAACTGAAAAAATGTTTTATTAGGGTAGCCCCCCTATATGTAAAGTGGGAAGTGATTTTTTTTTAATTTCAACCCTAACGTGTGATATATTGTTGGAAAGGTATTTAAAAATGAATAGGGGTTTACTAAAATAATTTATTGATAATGTTAATAATTTCGGATATAATAGCTCCAAAAGTAAAAAACAATGTGTCTCCCCCCCCCCCTCTAACTTTTGAACCATAAGTTTAGAAAATATGAAAAAATCTGAAAAGTAGAACTTTATAAGGACTTTCTAGGAAAATCTTTTTTCTAAAAATCGTTTTTTCCAGATTATTATCCCAACTTTATTAAGAACGTCCGGGCGCCGTCCGGACAACTTCACAAAACAAAACATAAACACTCACGCCTGTCACCCAGAGGGGTAGGCAGAGACTACAGACTTCCATTTGGCACGATCCTGACACACCTCTCTCGCCTCCTTCACATCCATATACCTACGCATGCATGCTCGTCGGTTAAGGGTACTCCTAATTTGGCCCGTTTTCAATAAATCGCCAATTTGGTCGATAAATTTTCGCCTAGGACGTCCCTTTCCGACTCTGCCATTCACTTCTGCAACATAAATTTTCTTTGTCACTCTTTCCTCATCCATTCTTTCCACATGACCAAACCACCGAAGCATTCCTTTCTTAATCCTGGTCACAACATCATCTTGCAAACCACACTCTTCTCTTATCACACAATTTTTCACCCTGTCATTCAGATTCAGCCCTAACATACTCCTTAACGACCGCATTTCTACTGCATTTATTCTACTCTCGTGCTTCTTCTGCCACACCCAACTTTCACTACCATACGTTAAAGTAGGGACCAGCACAGCATTGTGAATTGCCATACGTGCCTTTTTTGACACATTTTGACTCTTCACAATAGAGTGCAGGGCCCCATTTACTCTGTTTCCTGCGTTCACTCGTCGTTCTATATCCTTATCATATCTCCCATCCCTGCTAAATACGCAACCCAAATATACAAACTCATCTACTTGCTCGATCAACTCCCCTTCTATTCTTATTTCACATATCGTTTTACTTTCATCTCTTTCAAAAACCATAATTTTCGTCTTACTTGCGTTCACTTTCATACCCCTTTCTTTTAATGATCTGTTCATTAATGTAACCATCATTTGCAACTCAGCCGCCGACGACGCAAGAATAACTTGATCATCGGCGTACAAAAGGCATTTGATGGTTAACTTACCCATTCTTAATCCGCATTCTTCAACTTTCAAATTTTCAAATTTTTTTCACAAAACCCAGACACATTTTTTTATTTGGGGAAACTCTATTGATTGAGTGATAATCAATAAATGAAAATAAAATAATTTCATATACTTACACGAACACTACCACATTGAATTGACAATGGTCAGCACCACCCCCAAGACGGTGGCAAATATGTCACTTTACTAGCCTAACGACTTATGGTTTATTGATTTCATCATAACAGGTCTACGTAAAGCGTAAGTCATATAAAAAAACTAAAATTTTATAATTACCTATTCTACCTAGACAATTACTTAGCATTTTTTATTTTTATATTTTTTTCAGTATGTATAATTTATATTTTTACGCATTATTATTACATTTCCATTAATCACAAATAGACAAAGCCGCGATTCCCGCAGGGGCAATCTAGGTTGTACAGCGATCGGGGCGATATCAGAACTGCTAGTATATAGTTAGTAATCTATGCAGAACTGTCTCTACTCACATGCCCACAAGTACCCTTAGCACAAGCCTACCGTTCAGTATGAGAGTGTACGTCTCGCTGGACACACGCGTTGAGAATGGCTCCAGTTTTCAGCATTCGCTCTTTTTTTATCTATCTTATATAAAACAACTAATATTTTTACATAATATGTCCATTATAGACTTTGAAACCATCCAACCGATGTGCCCCAAACCGGTTTCATTAGAAAGTCAATAATGCGAAGGTAGTTTTAGACCACAAAAACAATGCATTGGGAACTATATAGAAAAGTTTATAAATAAAAAAAAATCTTTTTTTAAATTAATAAACGAAATGTATTTCTTAATTTTAGTACAGTAGCACACGCCGGGTATTTACTAGTATAGAATAAGGGTGACAAACGAACACACAGTCCACCTGATGGTAAGTGGATACTGTGGTCTATAGACACCTATATTTACCTATAAAACTACTAATTAATTAATAATTACTAACGAAATATA